CCCCACCCTAAATAGAAACATTATTAATAGGACTTTTATTTTTTTTTCGTAACTAAATCTTTCATTAATCACCAGTAGAAAAGTTACAAACTCATAGCTTAGCTTAAATACAACTAGCTATCTAAACAAAGACAAAACACCACCAATCAATAACATAGTTTACTACATTCTAAAATATTCTTAGAAAACGCAGTGTTGTAGCATAGCTCTAATTCCTGGAGTAGCTCGGACATTGCAGACATAAGCAATCTGCTTCGCGACGTTCTCCCAATTGGTACTCTGCTTCTCAAATATTCGTTGGTTTCTCTCCATCCAAATGGCATGGATACACTCGGCATACACCATCTTATATGCTTAAGCTGCTTGAGTTCTTCCCTTTGAATTCTTGATTGCCCATTCCACAAATTGTTCCCAGTGCATAGGTAGTACTGGACCTCTCTGTAACCACTGCATCAACTTGTTCCATAGATTCCTCGCAAACACACATTGAACAAATAGATGCTCACAGGTTTCATTAGCGCTTTGACAGAAAACACAACTCAATGTCATAGTTAATCCCCATTTAACAAGCCTATCACAGGTTAGCAGTCTTCTCTACAGTTGGAGCCACATAGTGAATCTTGCCTTTGGTCTAGCAGCATTCTGGAAGACTAGACTTTTCCATGGAACTCTTGGATATTGGTGCAGCAGTTGAAGATATATGCTCCTTATTAAGCTTCTTCTAGGAGTAGGATTACAATGAACTTGCTCTAGTATTCTCCTAGCATCAATGATTTGTCTTACTATCCAACATGCTTGATTTGGCACTAACATCTCAGTCAGTTGTTGCTTATGAGCACTTTGACGTAATAGCAGTGGATCCATCTGACCCATAATTTATCTTGCTTATGAGCAAGATCCAATAGGTCATTGCTACAGCAGCCTTGTTCCAAATGTGCAAGTTGATCAAATTTAGTCCTCCCGTTGACTTTGGAGTACACATTCTTTCCCAGGCAATTAGAGCTTTTTTTGGTGATAACACTTGTTCCCGACCAGATATAGCTTCGACAGTACGAATAGGACTGTTTGCACCAATTGTATTCTCCCAGCATAGGAGAGTTTCTTTGATGTCCACGATGCAATCCTGGCAATGATCTTCTCAATTAGTGGTTGCCACTGAATCAGTGACATTTTCTTTGTCGAAAGTGGAATGCCAAAGTATTTGAATGGCAATTCCCCTTGTCCAAGCCCCAGCTGCTGCAAAATAGGTACTTTATCCAGATTTGATATCCCTCCAAAGTATATTGAGCTTTTCCCCATATTTGCTTGTAGTCCTGATGCTTTGGAGAATTCCAGGAAGCAATTATGTAGAGCAGTGACAGAAGATAGATCCCCCCGAGAAAATAGTAAAAGGTCATCTGCAAAACATAGGTGTGTTACCCCTAATCTTGCACACGTAGGATGAAATTTAAACTCTTTTACTTTCTTTAATCCAGATAGACATCTGCTAAGATACTCCATTGCTATGGCAAATAGAAAGGGGATATTAGGTCCCCTTATCTAAGGCTCTTAGCAGCATTAAAAGGCTCTGATGTATTTCCATTTATTAGGATAGTATAATTGACAGTCTTTACACATTCCATGATCCATGCAGTGTATTTTCAGGAACCCCAATTCCACAATGACTTGTTCCAAGTAGTCCCATTCAACTGAGTCGTAGGCTTTTTGTAGATCAATTTTGATCAAACATCTGGGGTAATATGTGCTTCCTGGTGTAGGACTTGACCAACTCATGTGCTAATATAATGTTGTCTGCAATTTTCCTTCCCGGGATAAATCATGCCTGAGCATCACAGATGATAGTGGCTATAACTTTTTGCATTCTTGAGGCTAGGATCTTAAATATCAGCTTGTATAGCACTATACAACAAGCAATTGGCATGATTGTAGTAGGATTTGCATTTTTGGGAACTAATGTGATTGAGGTACAATTACAAGCTCTGAACATCTTCCTAGTGCTAAAGAACTCTTTAACAGCTACTATCACTTCCTCCTTAATGATATGCCATGTTTTCTTAAAGAAATGTGCATTAAAACCATCAATACCTGGGGCTTTATCATCTCTAATAGAGGTCAGTCCCTCATATATTTCTAGCTCAGAGACTGGTGCACATAGTTCAACTTTTTGTGCTTGTGTTAGCATTGGTCCTCTCTGCATTGTAAGTTTATTACCTGCCGGTAAGCTTGGTGCAGACAACCCCATCAGACCTTTATAAAATTGTATAATCTCCTCCTTGATGTCATCTGGCTCAGTTAACTTGATACATGTCAAGGAGGTAAGTTCCACTATATGCTTTCTATGATTCCTTTCCTTCACTACTGCTGAAAAGTACTTTGTATTTGAGTCGCGTAACTTGATCCATGTAGCCCTGGATTTTTGCTTGAGGACACTTTCTTCAATCATAGACCATCTTTCTAGTTGTTGCATAGTACTCTTCTCCATGTCCAACAGCTGATCCATGTACTATTGTGAGATTTGCTGTTTGATTTTCACTAAGTCATTCCTAGCTTTCTCAATCTTCTGAGTGATGCCTTTGAATTCCTCATGATTTAACTTCCTCAAAATTGGTTTCAGTGCCTTCAATTTTAGATAAATGTCTTTCATTTTTGAATTAGCCAGTGATTGAGACCAAACTTTCTTCACAGATTCAAGGAAACTTTCATGCTCTGTCCATATGTTAAAAATTCTAAAAGGGCTTTGACCTTTCCATTTATTCGAGTGAAGATTCAGTATAATAGGAGCATGATCAAAGATGCCAGGTACATTATATTCAGTGGTTACTTGTCCCCATTGCATCATCCATTCATAGTTACCAAAGGCTCTATCTAGCCTACTACAGATTCTATCATCCCCATGTTGCTTATTAGTCCAGGTGTAATACTCTCCTCTCCAATTCAATTCATTCAATAGAAGATCATGCACACACTCAGATAAGCCTTGTATTTCAGCATAACTAACAGGAGTTCCCATTAACCTATCATCGGAATACTATAATGCATTAAAATCCCCACATACTAGCCATGGTGAATTAATTCCCTGTGCTATCCCATTTAGATCATCCCATATAGCCTTTCTTTGTTCAATAGTATTGAATCCATAAACTACAGTCATCATGCAGTCGACATTGTTTGTTCTTCCTTTGATTTGACAATGGATGTATTGTGCCCCCATTACTATCAGAGTAATTGTATACCAATTAGTATCCCAGATCACCCATAATCTCCCGTTGGCAGCATGTTGGTGGTTTGTTATTATTCCCCAACCAGGATGGATATTATTTAAAACCCTCTTGACATTGTTTTCTTTAACTCTTGTCTCTATTAATCCAGCAAGCTTTATATGCTTTATTTGTAAGTATTGTCGAATCCCTTTTTGATTGTACCTCTTATTCATCCCTCTCACATTCCAAAATAACCAGGTCATACTTGGGTATTAGAACATCCCCCCCTGTCCACAGGTAGGGTTGTGATCCCACATGTCCCCTCAGTCAATGCCTCAAAGCCATTCTTAGTTTGAATGGGGGATAACACTGAAAAATTACTTAGATTGAACTCAGGATGTTTCTCTACTGCTTTGCCCTTTGATTGTTGAGTTGGCCTAGCACTGTGTTGTATCATCTCATTCTGTTGCTGCTGCAAATCATTAGTACTTATAGTATCTTTTTCCTGGGCTTGTTGTTGCACTCTTTGGGTAGACATAGTTGAGTAGTCTCCTCATTTTTATTAATTGGTCCCTTGTATCTCCACTCCTGGGTGACCTTTTTTGTCTCCCTTCCTCTTTTTTACTGATTTACTTGCTGATTTCCATGCCTAGTTTGAGGATTGTATTTATGCCCAACAACAAGACATCTATCACAAAACTCAGGCTTCCAATCATAG